TACTGGTATTAGGGTAACGTTATCCAATTTCAGATTTTACAATTTTCTTAAAATAAAATATCGTTCTTCATCTAATATTTTCAATTATTTGATCTTAATATCAATATGTTTTAAATCATAGGGTAAAATGAAGGTGTCGTAATCTTGAATAGTATTATGACTTCAATATTCTAAAAATATATTCAAAAATGCAATATTTGAATTTAAATTTTAAATTTATATATGCAATATACATTATTTAAATATTTCTTACCTTCTTAGGAATAGAACCGCATTTTCATTATACAGAGTTCTCTACATGTTGCTCTTGTAATTGAAAATCTAAAAGAAAAAGGGAATAAATGAGAAATTTAAAATAAAGTTTAAATTCATTTGAAAATTTTCATTTGCAAACTCATCGTCAATTCTGTTAGCAAATGAAAAATGAATTGTGTGTATAGCCATAATCTTTGAAATATAACAAACACAGTGTACAAAAGGTGCCATACAACAAAAACCTAAAATATTCAACATATAAATATATATGTAGATTTGAATACTGGATCATACAACCATTCTCGCTCAACACTTATTTGTTAAAAGTTATTTTCTTCCATACTTTGTTTGCCATTTTCAAAATTAATCTTCAGTTGTCGAGGATAAAATTATTCTGTGGTCCACTATATTTTATATAATACCACTATATATCAATATTTGATACTATTATATACATATATGTATACCTGTTTGCAAAGTGAATTTTTATTTAAAACTTTTCAGATTCACTCAAATCTATTACGTGGTATAACTTAAAAATAAAGTATTTTTCGAAAAGAAAATTTTTCTTGCTGAAACGCATCAATGAATATACTCGTAGGAAACTTTTTTTTAACTTTGTGTGCAAATATATGTATGGTAGATATGCATAAATATTGATTCTAGTAAATTAATGGTTTTCTTATGAAAGAGAACAATATATCAAGTGCTTCATACAACTTTGGTACAATAGATGTAGCATTTAGCACTAGGATATCATCATAATAGTTTGCATACATCGGTTTTAATGAAATATAAATGAAATTTTTGAAAGAAATGTTATTAATATTCAATAGGAATCATGTACATTTATATGATATAAATTTTCCATGAAAATTTTGTATTAAATCAATTTTTGAATAATTCTCTTGAAAAATTTTTCAAGTTTATTGTACTTATCATTAAATTTTTGGTGCTAAAATAGCAAAATCGAAATAATTTGTTAGACGATGATGGATTTTCGTTTTAATTATGCAAAATGGTTTCAATTGATCATAAATATGAAAAAGATGATCCTTGAATTGTTGTCCAAATATAGTTTTGTTTCTACTGAAATTGCATAAAATTCATTTAACATAATTATACAAAAAAAAGTATAAATCAATAATAAAAATGTTATATTTACCTTAAAATATCTTAAACTTTAGAAGTAGATCGACAGAATCCAAATAAATAATTGCAATTTATAAAAATTTAAAATATTTTTTTTCTCTTACTAAATTGTTGATGTTACCTTGAATTACTTTTAGAACAAAATTTCAATTTAACTTTGGACAAGTTTTAATAATTTTTATTTTTTGTGTTTTTTTGTATTTACCGCATTTATTCGACATTCATCATTATTTTCTTTAATTCTCAGTGCAACTTTTCTGTGCGAAATTCTGTTAACCATCACAGTTAAAACGTTTTAAAATTTTATAAAAAGTTTTCTATAAAATTTTTACAAAGTTCTCTTAGAATTATTTACGTGCATATATCAAAATTAAATTTTTATATTCATAAATCATTTTTTATTGGATTTTAAGAGAAACTTTTTTGTTATTTTTAAAAAAGTAACATATTTTCTTCGTTGCACATTTTTCATTATCATGTTCATTCTCTTCAATCCTCCTTCGGAAAAACATCATTCAGAACTATTATAAAATTTTATTCAAAAATAAATTTCCTTATCCTTTCAAGATTTATTTTTCCATAATTTCTTTCCATAACTTTTTTCATGTTTGATGAAGACAAAAAAAAATTAAAATTTATGATCCAGATGATCCCAAATATATGTAGCTGTACATGGTCCTTTCAAACAAACTCTTATGTATACATGCTAATCATCGGAATATGAATAATATCCAACCTGTCAATCTTGCCTAAAATTAAAATTTAAAAAAAAAAGGTTTTTAATTTTATTTTTTGAATTTGTATATGCCGGTAATATTACTGGTGATTATGATTCTAATAATAACTTGCATTAGAGTTGTTGTTATAATGGTATGTATGATTATGATGTTTTGTTATAAAAACAGCATAGCAAATAATGTGTGAGAACATTAATATCTTGGATTTATTAGTTTTAAAAATTTGCTATTATGTATTCATAATGGCAATAAAGTAAAAACAATAACTACACGTGTTGGTGATTTTTAAAAAGAACTTCAATGCGTATTTGTACAATTTTAAATTGTATGTGCATAATAATAAGGTATTTTTGGAAATAGGTTCTTAAATCAAAAGAAAAACAGAAAAATTTAAAATTTTCATGTATTCCCCAATCAAACCTTAAAATCATTTTTTTTGTCATTTGTATAGAGATGTATTTTTTCAATCTAATGAACCCGTAATTCTTAACCAGTGCATTGAAAAATCTAATTTTAAGCTACTTTTTCACATATTTCAGTCGGAATATCTCCAATTAGATTTTCAATATTGTTTTCAAAACTTGAAACAACAAATTTAAAGATTTAAAGAAATTTTAAAATTATTTTCAATCGAAATAATAAAAGAACGCTTTCTAATAATTTAATTGAATTACTATGAATTCCAATGAAACATCCTTGAATATTATAATGAACTTTATAAAAAATTTTTTTTTCGCATACCACGTTTATCAAACGATTGTTCCATTTTTTATTGAAACTTTTAAAATTCTTTTTTTTAATAGAAAAATTTATTAAATTGTAAATAGAAAATTCTTAAAAAACTAAAAAGTGCTTCAAAAAAAGAAAATTTAAAAAAAAATTTGGATTTAGCACGAGTGTAAATATGAAATCTTAAACATAATTTATTTATTTTCGAAATTCTACAAACTTTTAGTAACGTAATAAAATTTTTTTACTACTTTATAAATATAAGTAAGTACATTTTACTTAAATTCAGCTAAAATTCTTATAATTATAGTGAATTTATCGAAAATACAATTTTATTTTACGACCAATATTTAAATTCATTCAAATTTAATAAAATTTTCCATAATTTTATCTTTTTAACTATGCTGGAATTTAAGTTGTTATGGAGACTTATTAGATTTCAAAAATTTAATAAAAATTTTAATTTTACAATTATTTTAATTACTTTAGATTACAAAAATTTAAAAAATAATTATAACTAATTTAACAACACTTCTAACAATTAAGTACAACTATGTTAATCTGACATATATATTGTCTGTTACATTGATCATTTGATTAACTAAAGAACTCTACAATTATGTTAAATTTTCAAGTACAACTCTCATAAATCATAAAAAATTTTTTTCAAAAATGTTTTAATTTCAAAATTATTACTAATTTATTCTTTTACTTATTCTCTTACTAGAAATTCATTTATTACCTACTTAATACAACTTGACACACTTCAAAAGTAGGACAAAAATAAAATTCTTAATAAATCAAATTATTTGATGTATCTGACATAAATTTATGTCATGATACATGATTTTTTGATCTGTTATATGAGTGGTTATTAAACTATTCACACATTAAGAGAATTGAGATTTTTTTATTGTTACAATTTTTATTCTGTATAATTTAATATTTTAATACGTAATATATATACATATATACATAGTAATATATATACATATGTTGTATATATAGAATGACCATTGAAAATTATATAATAAAATTATTTATCACAATATATTCAGAATATTTATCATAATTAATTAAATAAAAATAATAATGAAGTTTCTTATGATAGTAAAATTTATTCTATAATCTATTTTATTGTGACTACTTGTTTGGATGATGTACAGCATGATGTTTTGTTTTAGCTCTATATCAGTACAATTGATTAACTATTTATTTTTGGAATTCTGAAAAAATCAGACGTTTCATCTAAAAATTTCGGGAACAAAAGATTTATTGCCATATGAGATCGTTGTATAGTTTGAGTTTTATCGAAATTTTCTTTCTTTGCTTTTTCCTCTCCATGTGAAAGAATAGAAAAGTGTTGCATAAAACTTAAGCTTCAGTATTGTGCGCTAATAAATTTTTTAATAAGGGGTTGATTAGTCGGCCATTACTATTTAGCAATCCAAAAGAAATTAAGACATTTTTCTGCACGATGTCGTTGCGGTTTTACACAGTCCAGAAATCTTTTCACGGTTAGGTTAGATGCTTTATAAAATTATTATTACGTAATTGAATATATCTCATAACTTCCCGGCAGAGTTTAGAGCCCGAGAGGAAATTATAGCTGCAATTAAACATAAATTTATTATTTAAATTAAAATTTTTGCTAGAATATTTTGTAGTCCCTGTACATGTATAGAAAATATTTATAATTATTATTATAACAAAATCATATGGCACACAAAGTTAATGAAATTTTTCATTATTGTTATTATTATGATTTTGTGATGGTATGAAAATGTTAACACATATTTTCGTATACAACAAACCCAAATAAATAAATTTGTGCACGTACTCATCTCACGTACATTTATCTAGTTCAGATTTTTAATTTTAATTCTTCATATCTTTTGAATTAATTGAAATAATATTCAAACATATGTACAATTCATATGTTTTTCTTTTCATATCTCTCGGTATATCTTTTTATTTACTCTATTTATTTATTTTGTTATTTAATATAAAAATATATTTTCATTATATTAAATAAAAATATATAAATGTATATAGAAGAACATTATGTAGACTATTATTTATATACAAACTTATTTATAAATAAAATAATTTTTTTTTTCATTTCAGTTGTGGTTTTCAATCAACAAATGCGTTCCACAACAAATCTTTTAATAATTAATTTAGCTGTATCGGATATACTTTTTGTTATATTTTGTGTACCATTTACTGCTACAGATTATGTTTTACCAGAATGGCCATTTGGTGATTGTTGGTGTAAATTTGTACAATATATGATTGTTGTTACATGCCATTGTAGTGTATATACGCTAGTATTAATGTCATTTGATAGATTTTTAGCTGTTGTTCATCCAGTTACTAGTATGTCATTAAGAACGGAACGGAATGCATCATTGTAAGTGTATACAGAAATAAATACATTATTACGGAATATTTAAAAAATTTAATTACTTGTATAAGTTAATTATTAATAAAAAAAATTAATTTTTAATAAAGAGGAGGATTAAAACCATTAAAAAAACATTAATTGAAATTAAAAATTTTTTATGAAAAACCACATTTTTACTATTATTTAAAAAATACGGGATCAAAATTTTTTCTCAATTATAACCAGCCTCAATGAAATTAACAGTAAATTATTAACGAAATTGAAAAGCACCTAGTTATTGGATCAAATCTTTATGATTTTTTTATAATTCTAATTTGGTTTTCAATATTAGTTATTTGACACGTTTCTTTTAATAAATTGCTGTATATGAATGTGGTTACTTGTTTAATATTTAAAATAAATCTTTTTTTTAAACACAAAATAAAATATTTTTGTTGAAAACCAATTAATAATTTTTAATATTCAAAGAACTTATTCTAAATTTTTGAAATTTTAAACAATAAAAAATTTAATACATAATATGTATTAAAAAATTTTAAAATATTTTAAAATTTTTTAAATTTTTATTTTAATATTTTAGAGCTATAACACTAACATGGTTCCTAATAATAACAACAGCAATTCCAGTACCTCTATCGCATGATATTAAAATTTATGCATTTCAAGGTCATAATTTTACAGCGTGTGTTTTTTCATCAGATCAACATATATGGACTTTAGTACAATTTCAGGTAATTTTAATATATTTTATCAAGATATACAGAAAAGCACTAGACTCTTAAAGAGAAAATTTTAATATCTTAAATCTTAAACAAATTTTGTTGAGCAATTTATGTATACTTTTTAGGGCAGATTTATCGATTTTTCTAAATTTCTTTTTGAAAATTTGATGACATAATTTAAAATAATTTGTCTAAGGCTATGAAATTTTTACTATGCATTCGAATATTGGCCAGTAAATTATAAATTTTTCAAATTTTCTTCACGCTTTTATGAATTCAAAATATTTACAAATATAAAAAAAAACTAAAAATAATTTTTACCACTTGTGTAAAATAAAAAAAAACCATATAAAAATACACAAATTTCGGAAAGAGAAGCATACAAATTTATTTTGTTTCAAAATAAAAAAGCAATTTAAAAAACAAAACAAATAAATTGAATTGAAGAAATAAAAAAGTACTCAATTCTTAGTACGATGCAGTAAAAAGCAGAACTATATAAACAATTGTTTTCTCTTTTTTATTTTTTTATTTTATCCTTTTAAAAAATCTTTTAAAATCCTCGTTAAATAACAAAAAAAAACAAAGAAAATAAAAAACAAACTAATAACAAGTTTATTTTTTTATTCTCTGCACTTTCAAGTTCAAAAAAGTCATGTGGTGTTTTTATTTTTGAACATTTTTAAATTTTTTTCCCTTCAACCTTGATATCCTGCGGTGAGAAAAAGCAAAAGAAATACATAATAATAAAAAAAACATATAAAATAATTACAATTTAAATTTAGAAAAATAATAAGAACCTAAAAAATAAAGATCACATCACAACATGAGATCAAAAAAAACGTAATTGAAAACATCAATGTCCAATAAATTTCAAAATTATGTTTTGACTAACTCTACATTTTACATAAGGATTTGCAATAGAAATGAAATTTTATTTTGTAATTATTATTCACGTGCAACAGAAAAATTGATCAATATTCATGGGTTTATACACTTTTGACAATTTCATATTAGAGTTACATACATATACATATGTGTATGGCAATTGAGACCCTAAAAAATGAACTAATTAATAAGTAAACCTACAAACTTAGCTTAATACAATAAAAAATATAATAAAATTTAAATTAAAAAACTACATTTAGCTATGTTCAATTGCATTCCTTTAAAGTTGACGCATTGATGAAATTCGATAAATTTCTGGCCAAAAGTTGTCGTTATTGCTCCCATAGAAACGTTGTAGAAAACAGAAAACAATTTTTTATAACAATTTTGTTAAATTGACTTTTGAAACAGTTTTGTTGTTCTTTCTTTCCTTTTTGTTATTTTTGTATTTATTAATAGCATGTTTGCAGTGCAGATACCTAAAAAATAAATAAAAAGTGCAACGATTTTTTAAATAAACAATGAAAAAAATAATATGTTCAAAACTGCAGCAATAAAATGTTAAAAGTTTTATTTAAATAAAACACAAGGAAAACCCTATAAAATGCAAAAAGGGACCAAAAAAAAAAAATAACGAAAATAAATTGTTAAAATATTTTTCATCAGTTTTTTACAAAGTTTTTATTTTTGTTACAGGTGTTTTAAAATATGTACGTATTTGTAAATTCCGTTTGGCTCATATGAAAATTCAAAAAGAAAAAAATTATCTCAAATTAATAATTTCTATCTGATAAACTGATCAATCGAATGAAAAATTAATATGGAATTATCTGGAATTTAAATGAATTTATGAATTCAAATGAATCAATATTAAAGATTATTCAGGGATTCTAGACAATATTAAAGATTATTCAGAGATTCTAGAAGAAATTTAATGAAAGTCGAACAAAATTTACGTTTAGAAAACATTTTCAAAGTTATTTTAATCCTACTCTTGATATTTCTTGAATATTATTTCTGTAGTTCTATAAAAAATTTTTAATCATGAAATTTTTTGAATATTTTAATAAAAAATTTAAAAATATTTAATTAAAATTTCCATTTTTTTTACAGATATCATTTTTCCTATCATCGTATGTGATTCCATTAACGTTAATATCATTTTTATATATGGGTATGTTAGCGAGATTATGGAAAAATGCGCCAGGTTGTAAGCCATCGGCGGAATCAAGGTAATTATGTTTTATGTATTGTTGTGATATTTTATAAAAACTTTCGGGTTTCACTACTGCTGTCTGGGTTTTCCATGGTGACACCAAATACTTTAGTTATTTTTGAGAAAAAATTAGCAATAAAACATTTTCACCACTTTTCTTTTGTCCATAGATCTGTGATTGTTCAATTAATTCTTAAGTTTCTTATTCATTTTTAAATAGTTCTAAAAAAAATTATGATTTCTAATTAAAATCTTGTACGTATTCAACATTGAAAATATAATCTCTTATTTTCATTTACATTTTCTCAGTACACTAGTTTTAAATGTATTTATAACATAAGGTTAAGACTTTTATATCACAAGGCTCTTATATTTTTTATTGATTTTCATAAAAAGAAATGTCCTTTTTTATTTTCTTGTGAAGAACGGAAGTGAAATCAGGATATTTTTTTCAGTAAAATTTCTTTTTGCTTTTGTTCTTTTTCCCAAAGTAGTTTGATTTTGTATGGCACTGCAATTAAATTTTCCTTTCTGCATTCACCTGATATTTTCCTTTTTCAATATTCTCATAATATCATACTTAAAATACGTGAGTCTTTGTGAATTTAAGAGATTTCATTAGGGGTTATGATGATATTAAAATATTGTGATTCAATTATTCAATAATAAAGAAATTAGACGGAAGATGCTCAATAAAATTGTTAATATGAATGATATAACAAATATAGACAGATAACTATTCTGCTCATAATATTCAAGTGTCTTGATTTCTTAAGAACACTGGTACCATAAGTGAAATCATTTGCTTGCTATTTATTGTAATGAAGAGGTTGTGATAGTTGAACATTTGAAAATACTGAAGTGATGGCAAAAGAAAATCAAATATAGGTACACTTTTAAATTTTTTTATTGATTCTGCTATACTATGTAATATTCCTCGTAATAGAATTAGAGTCCTTTTCATTCTACTAAATTTCAATATTTCAATTGCAGAATATGTATTATTTTTGCGATATAAATTGGAATAACATTTTTTCTTTTATAATAGTTTTATAATAGTTGTTTAATATGGTTTTAATAAAATTGCATTTTAAAATTCAATAAACAGAATGTCTTTGAATGAAGGCATTTATTGTTGATCACTTTTTCAGCCTAAAATTAAATAAATAAAGCATTTTTAGAAAAATTTTTGTGAAAAATTTTTAGAGATGTTGTAAATATGAAAAATCTTTAAATTATACGAAAAAGGTCAAAATTCTTTAAATGAAGTTCCCTGACTAAACCATAAGAGAAATGTGATGTGAAATGAAAAAACGTTAATATAAGATTATAAAATTTTAAGGACAATTGCGAAATCTTGAATGTCCCACTATGAAGACTTAAAAGTGTTATCGATTAAATGTTGAAATAGCGTATATATATATAAATGAGAAAATGTAAACCTAGGAAACGTGAAACGAGTAAGTTACTTCATTATAAATTATTTTTACTTAATTATTGAAAATTTATTCTTTAAAAATTACCTAAATTTAACGATTTTGCATTGTAGAATCAACAAAGTATCAAAATAGCCCTACCTATATATTATTCTTATAATCCTATATATTTTATAATTACACTTATTTTAAAATGGAATGCAAAAATCCAGTCAGCTCCCACCATTTCTTCTCATTTTTTTCGCATTGAATTTTCAAATTTCTTACATTTTTTATAATTTTCTATTTTTTAGGAGAGGAAAACGAAGAGTTACTAGAATGGTTGTTGTTGTTGTTTTAGCCTTCGCAATTTGTTGGTTGCCTATTCATGTAAGTACATTAAAAAAGAAAAAAAATAATGTTTTTCATGAAATTCTTTTACCAAAAAGATTTTTTTTACTTTTTCTTTTTTTTTTTAATATTATTTAAATTTATTAAATTTATATTATTTGCATATTTTTATTATAATATCGTAATAGAATAATGTATGAGGTATGAAAACATAAAAGAACAAGAAAAAAAAAAAATAACACTCTATCGTAAATTAAATCTCATCTTCAAAAGAAAAATAAAATGTAATCTAAGAAAGTGTGTATTAACCAAGAAAATATTTTGGGGTGGTTCTACAAAATGGGAATGATGATAAAAGAGATGAGAAAGAGAATTGTAAAAGCAAATAAATTTGCATACATTACAAAATTTATACTCGTATATCCTTTTTAATATTATCTGGGATGTTATCCTTTGGGATCTGAACTTTTTTTTAAATTTTTATATATTTTTCTTATTTATATATAATTACCCTTTCATGTTAAAAATCCTGACTCTAATATAGAATTAAATTTATTTAAAAAAAAAATGCATACTAGTAAAATTTCAATTTTTTAATGAAAAACCTCAACATAGACACAAAGTTTGATTGAAAATCCCCAAAGAAACTGTTTCAATTCAATAATTAATAATAAAATAAATTCAAATAATTTTAAAAAGATCTAGAATTGCAATTTAAAATTCTACAATTCAAAATAATTCGAAAAAAATTTTGAATTTTAAAATTTGAATTTGTTCTATTCAATGTTTTGAATTGAACTGAATTGAATAGACTATGAATTATTGGCATAATAAATTTATTTAATTTGAATATATTAAGCCATAATTTTTTAAAAATTTTCCCCAAACTTTATTATGTAAATTAAAATTTTATTGCTATATAAGTTTTATTCTTACATAATTAATTAAATTCTTTAATCTTGTTCGATCACCATAAATAACTCGAAAGTGTTTGATTTCATCGAATGAAAAATTTTGATTATAATCAAAACACTATTTAGATCTACTCAACTATATACGAGTACATATACATATAAGTATTTAATTCAAATCACATAAGTACAAATTAATATGTTAATTTAGAAAATAAAGAAATTTTTTATTTAAATATAAAATAATGACAAACATTTTTCAATAAAACGCTTTTGGCACAGCAATCAAAATCTTCATACCCTGTAACTTTTTGATATTTTTTAAATATATATATACAGAAATGAGAAAAGCCTTTTAAGAAAAAAATAATTTATTTTATAATATCATTAATCATTCCCAATTGTGTTCGTTTAACACATGCGAAAATAAAAAAAGGAAACTCATGTAAATATTCCTTTTTCAGTGATTCTAAAGATTTGGTTTCAAATAAAATATATGTATAACCTCTGTAGGTCTATGAGTTATCATTACTTTTAGACACAAAGCTAACAACAAACGATTTTGTATCAGTAGCATCAGTAGTACATCAGAATCGGAATCCAAACCTGATCTACCTATATACAAAGTACAAGTCTCTATATGGGTTTATACGCCGATTGCGTCTACATGATCGATAAAAGAACCACATTGTGACTACCCCAAGATTCAATGATTAGTTGAGTTCTTTATTGCCAAATATTTCATCAATTGCCAAAATATTTTTCATTCAACTTATAGATTGAGGGTGCTGAAAGAAATTTTAAGCATTGTATACCAAAACCATGTGATTAAGAATCTCTGAATGAAAAATAAAGAAACACTTAAAGATGGTGCTGTTAAAAACTTTTTTAAAAAATTTCTTAATTGATATATCAAGTATAAGAAACCTTAAACACAAATTCTGTACATATCTAAATATATTAAAATTTTCCCATAAAATACATAAATCATTACAATAGAATGAATCAGAATGGTAACCATTCCATTCGTTCCGTAAGAAATCAAAGAAACTTAGAAGAAAATATTTTTATTTACAAAATTAAGTGCGGTTACCAAAAATAATAAGAAGAAAAGGATAATACCATTCATACATATATAAATAATATTCTATTATACATTTGGTATAAAAGGCTTTACATACAGACGTTCACATGTAAACGTGTTTACATTTCAAAAATCTTTTGAATATTATGTAGAAAAAAAAATAATATATTCCTTAATGGAATGTAAATAAATCTTTTCATATTTTTAACAAAACTATTTTCGGTACATGTTTAGTCTACTAAAATAAGTGTAAGTATGAAATTTTAAGCAGATACGCCGACTATAAAACTGAAAATTCTATTACAAGAACCTTGCATCCACAAATTATCAAAGAAAATAACTTTTGTTAAAACATTTTTCTTGGAAATATAGCACACTCTTTATTTTTCATCACTTTTAAATATTTATTTAATTTGAATTGAATGTGAATTAGAGGATTTTAAAATACTAAGTACATATAAAGAATTAATAATTATACACAAAATAAAAATATTACGGCCTGATCCGAAATCAATCTTAAGAAATCACAAAACTACATATACCAAATAATTTTAGAGTAAATCACGGCGTGATAGAGAATTTTGATCGAAAATTTTTAATTAATTTCTTGGGAGTATAATTATGTACACTATTATAAGGAGTTTTCAATTCGGAGTTTGTCCTGTAATCTAATTAGAAATAGGAAAATTCCAATTCACAAGTCAAAATTTTTGTTATGATAAAAAATATTTCACAAATCTTTACCTACCTATTAAATCTATTTTAAACTTATATTTATTTTAAGACAATATTCATTATTTTTCCTAATACACTGACACAAAATAATAATAATAAGAAGGATATTGTTGCTTCTAACACTTTTAAATAAAATTTTCTTAAGTTATTACCAAGATACATGGAGGAGGAAAACTTTTGGTAAAGAAATAATATCTTTTATTTTTTTTTATATTTTTTTGTTTGGCTAAAAACTAACTTTGATTTCTATATGAATATAATATGGTAATATTGTGGTTTCTTTTAAAAGGATATTAAACGCTCATCAGGCAATTTGTTGAAATTTTGCCAAGTCAGAGAGCAAAAGTTTTTCGTTTTTATTTTTTCTTCTTCTTTTGAAAATTTCTCTCCGTTCAATTTTGTTTTTATCTTTTTTCTTGGACTATGGTGTTGGTAGAATCAACAAATGATATTTTCTAACTTTATTTTATAAATATAAATGTTTCGATTTGGATGTGTGTATGTTCTATAGAACGTTCTTATATTATTAAAGGATAACATAAGATTGTTTTGTATTAAATTCTCATAACTCTTTTTATTTTGCTTTTTTTTTGTTGAGTCAAGTGATTTCCTTATTTAAAAACAATATGCTTAAACTATATGTGTGATGAATAGTGATAATTTATTTAATAATTTATTTACCTAATTGCGATAATATATATATTTTTTATAATTTAATTTGTTTTATGAATGTGTTTAGTATGATGTGGAATAAATTTGTTAAGGTATTTAAAAAAAAAATCAGTTTAACATATGTTGAAGTAACAATTATTCAGAATATAATGAATCAGCATTTAGAATTAAAAATAATTTAACACTTTAAATAAATACTATAATAAGAACCCTTTTGTGCTAACTTGCAATACATATTATGTTGATTGGAACAACAATATTAATGATGTGCTAAAAATATAAATTTATTTAATGTTGTATCTTATTTACCATCACTGCCGTAATATTTCCACGATTCATGATTGATTCATTAGTTTTAACTTGTTTCAAACATTTCCATCGCAAAAATGATATACACCATTATTTTTTAGGCTAGAGTTATCATTGACATCTTTTGCTATGTATATGTTTTAGTTCAAGATATACTTTATAACTCATTTCATTGCTGAATACAATTATGTAGCTTTAAGAAGATGGCTTAATTAGTTCATAATTTGCTCAACTGTCGTGTTTTTACTATCTAAAATATGTGCTTCATACTTGTTTCATTTCTGATATATGACCGCGTATTGTTTTACGTCATCCCCATTTTGTAGCGTGTTCTACTTCATTTTACAAATTAAATGACGAAGTACTGAATGAAAATTTCTCAATTATATGATTTCGTCATTTCATCTTCGTCACAAATACATCTCTATATAAATAGCCTCAGTAAATACATACGTAAATTATTAATAGCTCTTTCCAAGAAAATCTAAAATAGAAATTTTATCAGTTATAGTCATAATATTGTAACTATGAAAAGCAGTTGTATAGTTAATTTTACCAACACAAGCCTTAAAACTTAAAATATCCTTTCAATTTATTCTATTTTTAAATTTTTAAAACTTTTCAAAAATGAAATAGAGAATATTTTTGCTTTACTTTTAAAGTTTCTTTAAAAAAAAATTATGAAAAAATTTATAAATTTTCATTTTTCATAATATATGTATGTATGTATATGTGAATAATAATTTCTAGAAGGATCAAAATCCAAAACACATGCCCGAAATTATATTTTATCGATAGACGGTGAAAAATTATTTTCAGGAAATTTTTTTACAGGTAGGTAATTAAAAATATTGGTTAAGGATTTCTATTAATAATTCACAAATTTTAGTTTCCTTAAACCAACTTTTTCATTACTTTTTTTGTGTTTGTGTAATACAAGTACAACATAAAATTTTATCCTCTAACTCTCCTCCATATTCTATATATTAAATCTTTCCAGCTAATTTACTTTAATAGATTTTTCATGATAATTCTATAAATTATTCAGTAAAACAGATATTTTGACAATAAAAAAAAAACCCTACAAACAAAAAACTTAACAAAAACTTTTCAGCCTAAATTTCCACGAAAAATTAAAATTACTTTTGAATTTTTTAAAAATATTTTTAATCTTTGTTTTTGGTTTTATTACCATGATGAAAATATAAAAGTGATTAAGGGGAAAGTTTTTTGTACTTTTCTGTTTTCGTTTTCTTTCTAATCATCAATTAGGATAATGAATCCGCCGACAACCAAATTATATAACAAAGGAATAATACCAATAAAAA